CCTGCATAACTCTAATCCTAACCCTGCTCCTCCAGTGCCCCTTTATTTCAATTGTATATGCCTTCGGGACATGTATTAAAGAAAAGTATATTTTATGAAAGCCTTACCAGTATTGTTGCTATAAACCAGAAAGAGCACACAATCAAATATAGTTTGCTATAATAACAACCCTTAGTACAATGTATTTAATTCTTCCTGCTGCAGTTCAGTATGTTGTTTCTCACATTCAATTGTATTGTTTTGCAGAGTGCAGAAGTTGGTGTAGTCATTGCTGCAATAAAAGCCTCTCATAAAATATGTATGAATCTGTTATCAACTGACAAGTTGTATCACTGCAAAGATGGCAGTTCGTTAGAGAATGTCACTGCAACACAGAAATATGAATCCTGGTTGTTTGAAAGATATCAAGATTGTATTGAAAATCTCATAAATTCTATGACCCATTCATCTTCAAATGTACAGGTGAGTTATAAATACCTCATAGCCGCTATGAATAGTTGAAAAAAGAGCATCAGCAGGAGACGTGATAAATGGAAGCGAGTAAAGCCAGCCACTTACCAACTTCTTCAATATGATGCAATTATTGCAATGTAGCAAAATTACACTCTCTAATTGTTACTCAATGTAGACCACCCAAAACAACATGATAAAAATAAATATGCTCTAAATCCATAATATGGCTAGAAAACCATTATGCAGTCTACAATTCAGTTATAAGGTTGTATCATTGTAATCCTGGGTTGTCTTGGTAAACTCACATACGAGTTGATCATTCAGACAACATGTACATGTAATATGTTTGAAGGTGGTCTACCACAGGGAAACATGCCGCACAAAATTAATTGTCCACTAATAACCATTTGCAATATGATTTAGAAACAGGGCTAGTTCACATTTGTAATTTGAATATTGCCAAGATCAGTAGCGCCAGTATCCAAAACATGGTAATGTTCAATGGCGCTGTACATAGATGACTAGTTGTTAAAGGTTTTCCTAAAAAGATGAGTCTTAAGTTGAGTCTTGAAACTGTTCAATGTTGGTGACTTGCGTAGTTCAAGTGGCAATATTTTCAACAGTAAAAAGCAGTATGTGTGTCCATTGTCCAATCTTCTTTGCATTCCAAAATTAATTTGTAGCAAACTTAGCAAATAGAGACACAATTGCTCGTTTCTATGTCACATGGTATTTTAGTTTGATTATGCCATTTTGTCGTCCTTGTTCGTAGATGTTTGTTAAATAAATAACTTAAATTGTCCTTCTTCATAACACAAAGTGTTTGCAGATGAACATTTTATTTATAGCACCATGAAATCCTGGAAATGTGTTGATGATTTGTACAATTTTAAGTAATCATGAACTGTTCATGGCGCATGTCATGCACAAACTTCAAATAAATGTTGACACGAGATTACTCTCACAATTGAACATAACACATGCAAATCATCTATTGAGGACAGACCTTCGTGCTTATAAAATTCATCAATGAACTTTGTCTTTGCAGGAACTTGCACTGTGTACTCTAATGAAGTTTGTAGAATGTGAATCACAGCATCCTCCAAAGCCACACAACCCAGAATGGTACTTTCCAAGCACATTGTTTACTGTGAGTACAACATCATACGGCTAGCAATAGAATTCACCGTTCTGTAAAAATACTGTATCTACAGTCATTCCAAATCATATCTCCACTAATTCTTATGTTCCAATTTTCCCTGAGGTTAACTGCGTCACGAACATTGGCACTTTCAAAATATTGACTTCACGTTTGAACACTTTCCTAATACCTTGGACACGGAAGCACTATAGAACATGAAGGGAAATGGAATCTCAACACTGAATGCAAATATATGCACAACACAAAACATTTTTCATTGTCATTTCATGTGTTATCTCATGTGTTATCTTTTTACTAAAAGCATGAAATATATGCATAATGAAATTATCATATGAATACAGTACAGGGTCACTTTGACCTCTGCTACAGTGAACACTGTACAGTTAGTCATGAAGAGATTCACTTCATTTTGAAACTTATTTAATTGTTCTTTTAATTATTGACAGAAAATTGTTCATGTTTTATTGTCAACTGATGTGGATATGAGGAAACTCTTAGGAAGATTTCAAGAGTATGTCGAGTATGATGACATCAGGTATTACATGTTGAAGAGAATCACCGGGAAAACAACACGTTTCAAGAAAAATACACAAAATGTGGTAAGTTTATTCCTGAATGTGTTTGTAATATGCCTTGATTTAGAATCACTTGTTGCTCTGATTCAAAAGACACGACTGTATAGATATCGACTTTGTTGTCGGATTCAGAGGAGATGTACAAATATTACTTTTGATTCATTGGTTTCGTTTTGGAGTGTTGTTGGACTCACTCAACCAAAATGTTTCAGACAAAAATCCAATCATTTTTGACATTTTGAAGATGCTTATAAACAAGTTTCTAAACTATTCCTAAAATTATGTTTGTCATGAGTTTGTATTTATCATCTGTGGAGCGTAATATGTTATGTTATACTCAATATCTAATATCAGTTCCAACAACCTGTTATTTCAGGACACTGATGTATTGATACAGAACATATTCTGTATATTAGAGCAGATATCCAGAGTGATATCCACTGATAAAGAGAAAGAACTTGACAATTTTTTAACCAAATTACCAGATGCTGTGGACAAATGCAAAGTTACAGTACAGAAGGTTGGTGACATTGCTAACGTCACAAAGAGTTTTAACTAAAAACAATTTTGCAGAAATTGTGATATACATGTGAAAAGTTGTCAAGACCATAAAACATCAATAATTGCAAGTATTTTAAAATTGAACTATCAGACCTTCACAAGTTTTGTAGTCAGTGTGTTGTACATCTTTTTTACAGGAACACCAGATTGTTTTTGACACTGCTTGGTTTACACTGCTGCAGTGTCAGCTGCCAAACAGTATTTACAAAAGAATCTTGATTCTATTACCTGAACACATTATACCTCATATGAGAAATCCTGTTTTATTGATCGATTTCCTAACTGCTTCATATAACATGGGTGAGTCAATTCATTTAGTTAAATATACCACTCTTCTTGCCCAGATTATCATCCTCCTGATTCAAACTATTTTGAAGAGATTTTAATTTCAATGCTTCCATCCTTTCTCAATCAATTGCATTTACTATTTTTATTTCTGTCCATAACAAAAATTTAAATAATAATTGTTATGCTTAGTTATACCTGAATATATGATAAGGTTTTGTAAAAAAAATGTACTGTACTGTATTTTTTTTTCAAATTTCAAATTATATTTTGTTTCACATTTGATTTCAGGTGGAGCAATCAGTTTGCTGGCTCTGAATGGTTTATTTATACTTGTACATCACCATAACCTGTAAGTTGTATTGTAAAATACATATCCTCAACTTAGACTTTGGTATCTTCTTTTTTTTAAATCTGGAGAACAAAAATTGAGTCCCCACACTCATTAAAAATAGTTCAGAATATTCACCAAAAGAAGGTACTCATTGATTCACAATTGCTATTAATTCATACATGAAGATTTTTTGAATCTTCTTGGTTCACAAAATATTTTTTTTATTATTCATAATGGAGAAGATAAATTATTAACATGAAGAAAAATAAGAAAAAAATACAAAATTTGAAACTTGTTTATTTAATTACATTCACCACCTTGAATGCTTCCCCGGGATCACATCTCGAGATCGCAACACATTGTTCCAGTGATCTTCTCATCAAAACGTGAACTTCAATCTTTTACTCGCGATATAAATATAGTACAGGCATGTGGCAAAACAAATAACGCTTTAGAACAATGCATAGTAACATTTTCTTAATATTTGCAAATAGCATATTAAAATTTTCACCAGTAAATTCCACATATTTCAAAGGAGTAGTTAATATTTATTCTCAGCAAAAATTTCTTTTATTATTTCTTTCAGAGAATATCCTGATTTTTTCAAGAAACTTTATGCATTATTAGATCCAGCAATCTTGCATGTCAAATACAGAGCAAGGTTTTTCTTCTTAACAGACCTGTTCCTCAAATCCACGTAAGTATTTTATTGTATACAATGGTGAAACACTGTTTGTGCTTTTACATGATATGCATTCCTGCAAGCTCTCTTAAATTTTCATTTCATTTATAATGTGATTTAATACTGAATTATGTCCGAGCATTATATTATCTGTGTTTGGTTTTCAAAAAGAACTGTAATATGTTGCAGCTTTGAAATTAATTAAAAACATCTGCAAATGACAAATTCATAGGACATAATGTATTAGTTAGTGGTTTTCATTCTTGATGTAATACTTGAATAATTTGCAAACATTGTCACAAAACCATATCCATAAATATTCTCCTATATATTTTAGCTTCCAGAGTATGTATACATTGTCATAGTTAAGTGTTCAGTAATTGGCAAAAAGTAACAAAAACTTTTAATCACTAAGATTCCATGATCATTGTTTGAGATTTATAATGGGAATGTTTGTTATCATCAGTGGGTATATTTCTCAGTGTTATTTTCTTAATAAAACTATAGCATCCTCAAAGAGTGAGATTTGTTTATTCACAAATACCTCGATTTGAGTTGGTTTGAATGAAAATAAATTTATATGTCTCTCCAGCTTGTAGAAACTGTGCTATAAGTTTTTTTTGAGGGTGAACATGAATTTTGCATTTCATAAGTTCTGGGGTTGAATCGTTTATGAATCTATCATTCATTTATAACATCAATAATTAATCCCCCACAGAGCCATATTGAATGTGGAGAAGCTGAAAAACATTATTGTGTTAAGATCCTTTTCCGAATTATTGATATTATCAGAATTAATGAAATTTAGCATTTTGTTAAATCTGAATTACTTGCGAATTGAGGTTTACATTATTATGTGATAATGTGAAGTATGACGTCCTAAAGTATGACTCCCTAAAAAACTTTGATATTCTGATAGTGGTGATTTAAATATAAATGTATGAAGGTGGATTTCTTTTCAGACATTTACCTGCATATTTGGTAGCAGCATTTGTAAAGAGATTGAGTCGACTATCATTAACGGCACCACCAAATGCCATCCTGCTGGTTATTCCACTGATATGTAATTTAATACATAGACATCCAAATCTCATTACTCTTATACATAAACCAGATGCACAAACAGGTATGGTAATAATTAATATAATACTAAATTTTACTGTCTTGATTGTCTTGTTATTTGTGCAGGCTTTATACATATTATCCAGTCAGCCAATTGGAATAGGATTTGAAAAACAAAATTGTATGCATCAAGGTCCAATGATGTTCAATGTATTTACAAAGTTTTTTAGTACTGAAATGGCCGCCATTCATTTGGCCATCTTGAATCAGATTGTTAAATGAAAACACATGAATATGTATGATGCATGTGTCAAAGTGGTACATGATTGATCCAGGCATGTCTGACATACTCATAAATCTCAAGCTTTAAAGCGAGAGGGTTATCACATGCGCACATGCAGAAATTGAGTTCTAAGGCTCATGGGTAGATGCTTGTTTGTAAATAATGACGTGCTATGGCCATCTGACACATGCGCAAGTGACGACTCCCTCGCTTTAAACTCATGATTAAGTAGAACTAGTAGAGTAGGACAGAATAATGTTATGGTATTGTTGCAAGAGTTCACTCCTTCTTTCTCACATGAATGACAAAATTGACTTTTAGTCAATATTCGCAAAATAAAACTGCATAATTTTTTCAAAAATGTTGATCAAGACATGTGAGAAACAAATTACAGAAAAATACAAAAATATTTTAGACTCAAATTTGGGTGGGAGACATTATTGCACTCCATGGGTTAGCGATATTTCATTTGAAATAGTGTAGTTTCTCAGTCTGATACTTGTGTTCATTTCTGTAGATATATCAGGTGATCCTTATGACATGGAGGAACCTGACCCAGCTAAATGCCATGCAATGGAAAGCTCACTATGGGAGATTAAAACATTAAAATCGCATTATTACCATGAAGTTGCAACGTCAGCCACCAAAATAGAAAAACGGTTTCAAAAAGAAGAGTGGGATATTGCCGAGTACTTGGAGCTTGAGATGTCAGAGGTATAGTTATTGCAATTGTTCTAAAAGAACGCAAGTGATATCACATGCCCAATACTACTGCCGATCATATGCTAATAAGACAAACAATAGAAACATATCAAATGCAGATGTGTGTCAACAAAACAACACCCACCACTAGAGGGCGTTATTGTACACAAGAGCTTTTGAATAATAATCCACCACTTTTTTTCAGCTGATTGACAAAGAAGTTAAAAAGAAGATGCGCAAAATGCCAATGGAATTTGAACAACCAACTGGACTGTTCGGTGGAAACAGTGATAAAATGAAAGACTTATGGACATTGTAGAAATAAAATTTATATTAAGTAACATAGTTTGTTTTAACTGTATTTGAAAGGCAGAGATTGACCAAATTGTATGTATATTTATACCACTTATAGTCACATGCACCATTGTTCTAAGCAAATAAGTAAACCTTCAGTTAATTGATATTCAGTTAATAAACCGAATGATTTTAACATGTAATATCCAGCATATTAACAAATAATCCACGCGAGTCAACAAGCTACACACAATCACCAACATAAACTACTGAATCTACCAACATCGTTCTGTACACATGCAAGGTGGGTGTACACTAATTAGAGAAATTACTTCATTACTGGAATAATCAAACATGATTTGATATTTTGGTACTAATTGCATGGTTTTATCTGCAACAGGACTTATTACAGTTATGTATATGATCATATAGACATACATTAGTCGTGTAACACTCGGATGCCTTCATTATTATAGCATTGGTTGCATGTTGCTATCAGCAGTAGTGTTTAGTACATTATAGTTGTGCATATTAAGGATGACGCATATCGGTAGGTAATTAATATGCAGAGATTTCAACCCTGAAGATATGTTCAGTGGCACACCTATAAATTTAATTAGTAACCCTAAACTGAACATCTATGTATCAAGTTTCATTAAAATCTGATAATTGGTTCTTGAGATCAATGGAACAGACGCATCAACTGCAAAAAATGGCTGTTTAATCACATTAAAAAGAATAAACCCTTTGTATAATTCTGAGACAGCATCATTTCCTGCACTTTGAATGACTCAACAAAGTTTACAGGTTGCAAGGCATCAGATACCATTGTCTCTAGGCAAGTACTGATCTACAAGTACGCTTCTTTATCAGTTTGCCAGACCCATTCCAAGAAGTTGCTGCAATAACCTGAACAAACTCAAACTTTCCACACACTACTATCTACTTGCAAACTTGCTCCTCTGTTCTTAAGAATCCTCTACTGTCGCACCAAATCATTGACAGCTAAGTTGCTGATTAGTTTGCTATGGAGATAGTTATGTAGTCAAACTAATAGTTAGGTACTCGTTCAATATAAATAGAAGATCACGTAAAAATAGTCTGAACTTACCAGTTCTAATCATGTAATGAGATGTGCTTAAAAGCCAGCCAGCAATGTTGTTTCAGTATTCAGAGCAATATGATGGCCACAGTACAAATAGTGGTATATTCAACTGAAGAAATGCACCTTCAGGTATGTAAACCAATCATTGACAGAGAATGTGGACAGACAGAGACTGAAGTGACTTGGGTATTTTCTAAGCAGCACCCAGAAACATAGCATACTATACGATACACACATGCTATACTTGACGATTCATTTACATATCCAAAGGTGCAAAGTCAATTTTAAAATGGTAATTTTTAATTATTACAGATTCACTTGTGAGGTTTACAACATCTCACACACAACAGTGAAGTTTAGATTGTAAACATACTCAAACCTATACAATTACAGATCAAATGATTGTCCCTGGATTGTCATTAGGACATAATATAGGAGGAAGGAAATTTCATTGGCATAACTCAAATTGTTAACGAACAAGGACTATAGAAAAGGCCATGGAATGATTCTGATTGATATAAATTACCGGTAGTTCATCAGACATACCACAGTTGAAGACATGTTGATATTGTGTTTTCACAGACGATTCATTGACATCGAAAAATGCATGCAAATCATGCTTTGGGGCAAATGGCATGCATGAGTAACCTTACCATGAGTGATGTCAATACCAAGGCATGCATGAGCTGACATTGTTTAGGGAGACAAAATGACAACGATTAAAAATAAATACTTGCATCGAACAGACTGCAACCCCAAAAAAACAAGCGAGTTCTAGAAGTGAAATGTAATTTTTGAGGTCATGACCTTAGGTCACAGTGCACTTAATCTGTTCATGTCACACATTTTTGTTGCTTTTTTTAATGCAATCTACAATAAAATTGTTTTAAAAATATTAAAAATTTACAGCAGTAACCATGCACTATGTCACCTAATTCAAATTTTTAAAAAAAAGTACCGATAATTAAAACAAGTGATAAAACACCCTGGGTTTTCCGATAATATGATGGGATGATATATATAATTCTTGTGGCCCAAAGACACAGCCACTACATCAGAAGAAATATCCAGTGTCATAGATGCAAATGAAGTGCATTGAGCTGCAATGTGTTTTGTCTGGTGTGACCAGACCAAATAAATACTATTATTTTGATGCTTAGCTGAAACGAATCTGACCACTAAGATAATGTGTATAAATTAAGCCAGCACTCGTTCAAGTATTTGCAACATCAGGATGTGTATGTTAAATCTAATTGTGCTATTATGGTCATCACCATGATTTCATGTATTTTGTACATTATGATTGAAACAAACAATGCCCTCTAGCATGCAGGCCACATTTACCAAACATAAAAATAAATTAAGGAACTAAAATGTATAGTAATTCTAACAAAGTAGCCAGCCATGCACTACTTTGTATTGCTGGGTGAGGGCGTTCTCACTAGTTACAACGTGCCTAACCATAATAAAATAAATTATATGAATTATTATATAAAAAGTTTCATCTTCTGATTGGATGGCTGGCCATGGGTTATGCAAATCAGCTGCACTACTTTGGACTGGCTGGTGATGGCGCCCTCTAACACCATACTGGCTGGCCATGGGTTATGCAAATCAGCTGCACTATTTTGGACATAGCACTATGTAAATTTCATTTATGAGCATCTAACTGTTCAATCGTATCCATGGTGATACAATCACAGTAAAAATTAGTCCGCTTTGTCTTTATGCAGCCCTCTTAAGAACTGCTGTATAACTTCATGAGTGGGTACAGGTTTATATTTAGCTAGGTCTTCAAGTACATCCTGTGGTCCTTCAATATGTTCCCTCAATAGATTCCAGCTGGTTAATGTTTGATGATAGTCAACTACTTTTCTATAATCTCCCGTAGAGTTGTATAGTTTAATGAGTCCTCTGTAGTCGTATTCCAATCCGCTGTAACCAGCTCCAAACAGCTTGGTTCCTAAAATGACATAATAAATATAATTTGTTTTTTGCTGGCAACACACACATTGTCCTTGATTTCATGAAAGGAAATGACTGACTAACCAATATCAATTGATCTGACACATTAGCCTTGATTTTATGAGAGGGAATGACTGACTTACCAATATCTATTGATCTTAGATACAATTTTTCAGCATCGTCATACATATTCATATCATAGTTATACAATGATGCCAGATGACCAACTGATAATGCTACTTCATAATCGTCTTCCCCAAGTAGTTTTTCTTTAATTTCAATAGCTTTAATATGCATCTCTTCTGCTTCCTGAAATGATACCAATATCTTGATATTATTGTTTATCTGTATGGATTCACATGGCTGCAATAGCTATCAAATTTCTAACAGTAGCCAATTAGGAAACGTGATGCTGAATCAGAAACATTTTCAACTTAACGTGGTACTGTCATCAGAACAGCACATGGGGAAACTAGAAACAAACTAGCAAACAATGAATGCCTAATATTAGTATAGGCCAGTTTTTAGATATCTGTTGTGTCATGATTGTTCATAATTAAATATTTTTGTTAAATGGCGGTGGTCATTCTGCCGTGCCCTGTTCGATTTTACAAAAATTGTAAAACACATTGTGTACATGACATTTGAACACACACTGCGCGACGACCACCACCCTTTAAACAATAAAATACTATAGTAATGACCATCAGCAATGTTTATGTTTTGATCTGCTTCAAGCCTGTCAACGAGATTAGTTAAAAGACTAGTCAGAAGAAACAGTAATAGAAGCAGAAGTTTCCAACTCAACCTAGCACAAATGGCTGAAGACTGAACACAGAAAAGCCAGTCCTGGGATGACTTCATTAACCCACTGCATTAAATATAAAATTGGCACTTTGAGTCACTCAAAAATCAAATAATAATATTCTGTTTTTACTAAGACTAACTTAAAATAAATCACACTCGCCTTAAACCTACGCATTGACTGATACAGTCTTCCTAGGTTACCATAATGTTTAGCTGTTTGTACATTCACTTCTCCAAATGCCTTCTTTGCAAGATTAAGTGATGATAAATGGAGTTCTTGGGCTTCTTGTAAAAGCTTGGATTCTGTTTCTTTGTTGTGACTGTCAATTGCAATCTCTTCAAGAATAAGTGCTTTATAGAAAGGACAAAAAACTTGTAATTAAATCATTAATAGACTGTATGATGGAGTGAAATCCATACAATACTGTCAACTTCACATTCACAAGGTATTACTTGCTGTCTTTCTGATTGTGAGTGGCTTCTACTTGTTCAGCAGCCAGATGGCTGAATAAATGTACATGGCTGGTGAAAAAAACTAAATATCTTACCTTTCACTCTCTTGGAGGAGGCTAACAGTAAATGATCTTCTGGTAAAATTTGAGTAATTATTTCAATAGCTTTTTCTGCATGGTAACTGAGATGACAAATGAAATAGTAATACATTATTATCACAGCATTATTTGTCTTTCAAATCATAAACGATTTGTTCTGAATTACAGGGTACTTGTAAACATCAGACAATACATGTAAGGCTGCCGATATAACTTTTGTAACTGTTCTTACACATAAACTATCGTTTGGTGAAGTGTTGAATAATTGTATTGAAATGCACATAAATCATAAATTGTAGATATTGTATGCTTGATCATTAAATGTTTTGCTTGTTGTATAAGGGCAACCTAAAACTGTATGCAAATTAACTGTAACCATTTTTTTAACCTTTTTCACCACCAGACTTTTCCTCGCTCAAATTTGACTGCACTTTTTCTTGTATTCTTCAATATTTCTGAAAATGAACTCTAATTTGAGTCATTTTTCAGTTTTTACTCAAACAATTTGGCTATTTTTGTCCCAATCTTCAGAAGAGAAGTGCATATTTGAACTATGCACTATTTTGTGTATTTGTGATGAAAAAAAGAAACTGGTGGTGAAAAGGTTAACATAAAATTCACACAAAATTCCTGTCACTTAGTCTAAAGTCAGCATAAAAACATTTAATATGTTAATTACCCACAATGGCATGCAATTATTCAGTGAGGATAGTCACTACTTACTGTGCATCATCAAATTTTCCTGAGCTATACTGATGGACATACGAGGAGTAAGCAAGATCTTCATGTGCTATCGCAACATGGATATTTCTACCACCAAATATTGCTTTGCGAATATTCAATGCAGTCTGGTGAAAAACAAAAACTTAGGTCAGTACTGTACTGTAAGTTAAACACCCAGAATGCACTGTTCCCTTTTGCAAGTTGGATGTAAATCGTTACAGGGCCAACTACTGTTGGTGGCCAACGGTCACTAAATGAGGTAGGCCAAGAAGTCATCAGTTTGCTTTTTCCTATGCCTATGAAATGAATGAAATTCGAGCAAACATTGTAAATACGACTAGAATTTTCATTTTTATTTACATGTAATCTGCTGATATATTTGTTTATTTTCTGTGCATTTATATTTCGTTCATACCTACTTCCTGCTTTCATGATCGGAACATGATTACTAAAAAAGACATCTGTAATTGAAACTGTTGTATAAGCAATCAGCGGCAACAATGAATTCAGACAATTGACACAGTGACCAACTGCTCGATGTTTACTCTTTCACTATTAGTATGAATACAATAAGCAATAAGCAAAATGAAGGGATGGACAACTACTCTTTTGTTTCGACCTGGAAAGAACACTGAAAGCTTTACAAATCATTTTAGCCGGATGTACGTTGGTGGGTAGGTGTTGACAGTAACTCGGTGGTCGTAACACTTGGTGGGAGGGAGGGCCACCTACCTAAAACCCATTGTGGAAAAACACTGCACAGCTCATTGGAAACTACCTTAACCAACCTAGCAAATTAGAAAATGCCTACTTTGTTGGACAATTTTTTCCAGGCCGAGGATCAAACCGAACTGCTATGTATGTATGCAACATAGATGGAACAACTACAAATTATTACATACCTGGTAAACAGTAACAGATTGGCTAATGGAATCCACATTAAGTAAATAAAAACCATAATCTAAAAGGGCATCTGAGTACTTGGGATGATGTATACCAAAATGCTCCCTGTGAAGTGAAGTAGTAGTTGTATATGGTATCTATCGAATAGCAGATTTCTCTGAATTCATACAATTGGGAATTACATCCAGAGTGGTTTTGATCACTCCAACAAAGTATGTTTTTTGTGTGTAACCATGCAAAAAACATTGCAAGAAAAGGCTGAAATGCTTTTGTGTAGTGAGTCCTGATAAGAAAATGAAAAGTATTTAAATATATTCTGTGCATCATTATTACAAATGGGGTTCCTCTCTAATATGGTAGATCCAGAAAGCAGAATCTGGGGTTAATGTAATCCTTGACTAAGCCTGAAACAATATGCATTTTAACTCAATAATGAATATAAAGTTTCTTCCAACATTCTAAAAGGACCAAACACAGTTAATAGTCTAAAAAAGGTTTTATGTCATGTAACTATATACAAGTCTCTGAGTACAGAATTTGTGTAGAAAAAACAATGAACCATTTACAAGCTATAGCTTATATATTGTACAATACCTGAAAATTTGGGTCAGGGTTTAGGTCAAATTCATATTTACATGAACTACTAACAATCTTATCAATTATCTGAACAAGTTTGTTTTAGCTGAGATAGAAAGCAATAACACAGGAGTCACTTACCTTGTTAGATAGACAGCATGTTTTATAAGAGTCTCAGCTTTTTTGAATTCTCGTTTAACTACACATGCCTTGGAAGTTTGTCTAAGTATTGCAATCACTGCCTTGACTGGCATGCATGGAGTGATGCTCTTCATTGAATCGATGCATACTCGGAATGCCTGCATAAAAGAGGAAGATAAAGGTTAACAATCTGAATGTGTACAGGTGTGGATGGTTGAAAGTACAAGTGCAAATCATAAAAGCAGTGCATTTCACCACATAAAACACATTCTATATTTGAGACGATCTTTTTATCCTCATGGCAATTTTTAAGTTATAGCTCTACGTACAACAGGCCACAAGACACCTGTCTCCTAAAGGTGCATATACTAGTGAATGAGTCATGCCTAGTGCTTCAGCCAACTAATTTTGTATCGATGAATGGAACAATTTCTTTTGATGTACAACCTTAGGCCTACCATTTGTATACATGTAAATACTACCAGTCAAAGAAGTGTGTTTGCAATAATGCATGTTGAATAAACTGACTGATTTACCTCATCATATTGACTTCTGGCAAATAACAGTGCACATAGTTCCCCATGTAATGAAGCTAAGTTTGCAGGTATACAAGATTGTTGGAGTTTAGCCATATACTGTACAGCTGATGAATATGTTTCTTCCGCATTGTAGTATTTACAATTACAATTCCTAACATGCAGTAACCTAGAAAACCAAAACAATATTCTGTAAATCTATAATACCTAATTAAGAAATTACGTTCTCAACTACTATCATATGCAAGCCCCTTTTTAATTTTGTGAGAGAATTTCAAGTCAAGAGAAATTGCGAAATTTTAAGCAGTGCATGTTAAGACGTATTTGATGTGTCAAAAATATGTGAACTGTTATAAATGCAACAGTTAAAATGTACAGTATTTACAAGATATCTGGATCAGAAGTTTCTTTCCTATAGCTGAATACCATCAAGCATGGTGGTGGATTCTGTTTCAGATTCAAGTTTTAGGGTGTTATGTCACCAAATTGCATGCAAGTTTATCTGTTTGATTTTTGAAAACTGACTGCACTATAAAACCAATACTTGATGTGAAACACTTTCAATGCTTCCTTTTTGAATGAATGAATGAATATTTTAGTCACGTTGCTATTGTTTTTAAGCGAACTTGGAACACCAAATATTACATGTTTCTTGGGTTAGTTGCTCCCCTTAAAGTGCCTGTGCAATGCCCACCCTCACGTTTCCCATTTTAGATCTGTATCCCACTGAAATGGGCAGTTATTGATTTTTTTGCTGAAAATGATTAATCGTATCCAAGTAAATTTGGGATATTTCTCGTGTTGTAGCCACGCCCACCTATCCTGAAACGGTCGACTGTTTCCGGATTTCCGACTCTCGCCGAGCGTTTTTTTTCTTTCTTTCTTTGTCTATTTTTTTTTTTTTTGAGAGAGAGAG